GTGAGATCGAGCCCTGCGTCGGGCTCCGCGCTGGTGCATGGAGTCTGCTTGAGATGCTCTCTCTCCCTCTCCCTCTGCCCCACCCCTGCTTGTGCGTTCTGTCTCAAGAAGAAAAAAAAAAACAAAAAACACTAATATATACGGAAAACCCACCCAGGACACTTTTAGCACGACATCTCAGTCATCCAAACACTGCTTGAATTGGGAAAGCACTGGTGGAAAGTGCAGTTCTGTATCTCCCAAAATGAAAGCCTGGTCCCACAAGATGTGTCATCTGGCTTCTGTCAGTCTACACATAACTATGATAAAATCCTTCCACCCCGACCTCCCCCTGCTGGTAGCACTGACCTTCCCTGCTGGCCTGTTGTCTTAGAGTCACGTCTCCGCGATGTTCATCTCGAGCTTTTGTTTCGGGCCATTCCCTCAGGCCCAGAAATACCTCTTTACATCCCAAATAAAAACTGGGGTTCTTTTCCCCCCCCGCTCTGTAAACCTTTAAAGCGTTTGGCTTCAGCTCTAGTTCCATGATCAAATTATCTGGCGCTCCCGCCCCTCCTTCCTCCTGCATTTGGCCGAAGAAGAGAATCAATCGGGTGACTGTATAGACTCGTGACAACTCTCCCACATCTGAGAACAGCCTACAGAGGAAATTTGTGACAGTCATCCAGCTCCAGTGACTCCTGGGAAAAGGATGTCACAGTAGCTGTGAAAACTTTTCTTCCGCGTGTATGTTAAAGTATACGTAACACAGAATTTACTGTTTTAATCCTTCGCAAGTGTACAATTCCATGGCACTAAGTATTTTCTCGTTATTGTGCAACCATCACCACTACCTATCGGTGGGAACCACTGGTGGGAACCCCTCTCCGGAACCTTTTCATCAGCCCAAACTGAAACTCTGTGCCCACTAAACGCTCAACTCCCCATTCCTTTCTCCTCTCAGCTCTTGGTAACCACTCTCCCACTTTCTGTCTCTATGAATTTGACGAGTCTATGTACCTCATGTAAGTGGAATCCTACAACATTTGTCCTTTTGTGTCTGGCTTATGTCACTTAGCATCACGCCTTTAAGGTTCACCCGTGTTGTAGCGTGTGTCCGAATTTCGTTCCTCGTCGAGGCTCAGTAGCATTCCGTTGCCTATCCGCCACGTTCCATCGCTTCACCCGCTGACGGGCATTTGGCTTGTTTCCGCCTTCTGAGCTTACTTTCTTGACTCTAGGAGAAGATAGAGAGTCAGAAACAAAAAATCCAGTCTGACTTCAAGAATCTTCAGAGCTTTTTGCATGAAGAGGAGAAGGCTTACCTGTGGAGACTGGAGAAAGAGAACAAGCAGACTCTACAGAGACTGATGGATAACGAGGCCACTCTGAAACAGAAGAGCCAAGAACTCAAGAGTCACATCCTGGAACTAGAGAAGAGATGTCAGAGTTCAGCCCAGAAGTTGCTGCAGGTGGGGCCATGCGCTTGTGGGAAGGCACCCTCGACCTGTTAAGAGAAGAAGGGTGGGGCACCTGGGTGGCTCAGTTGGTTGAGCGTCTGACTTCGGCTCAGGTCATGATCTCGCGGTCCGTGGGTCTGAGCCCCACGTCGGGCTCTGTGCTGACCGCTCAGAGCCTGGAGCCTGCTTTGGATTCTGTGTCTCCTTCTCTGTCTGTCCCTCCCCCGCACACGCCTTGTCTCACTCTGTTTCTCAAAAGTAAATAAATGTAAAAAAAAAAAAAAAGAAGGGTGAGGGAGCGTGGGAAGATTGGCAAGTTGCCTGTCTCACTCAAAAGTGGCACATTGATGAGGGGAATTTAAAGGAATGTTTAGATACACCTCAGTATCTACAGGGTGGCCTTCACTAGTCTATAGGGTACCTTTATGCGAATCAGAAAACTAGACCCCCCACTGGGTGGACGTGGTGGGGTCCTTGGCCGAACAGGATCATGGGGTAACTTTTGCCACCATCCGCCTCTGTCCCATGTGCACCCTGACTGTCAAACTGCCTCCTGAAATGCTCCGCTGGGAGACTGGCGGATGTTCAAGTGGGGCAGCCAGCGTGAGTGACAGTTTTCCCTGATTTGTTTATAGAGCCCCCCACGGCCCTTATGGGGCCTTGTTTCAGCTGAATGAAAGACCCAGCCCAGTAAGGTCAACTATGCCAGGAACTGTTCGTTCTAGTTTCTGCTAATGGAATTAGAGGTTCTCCCGCTGTAAGTGGGAGACTGTACGTGACCTGCCATACCACTGTGTGATAACTGTCCCCACCATCTTCGTGGCCCATTTGCAGGGGGCTGTGCGTGGATTCGCCACGAAGGACCCTTTGTGGCAGCTGGTCTTTAATATGGGCTCGCTCTGAAAGAAATGAGGTCAAGGCAAGAAGGAAGTCTTGCCAGCGGGCACGTGGGCAAAGCTTCTGGCCTCTTGCATCAGCATCCCACAGGCTGTGACTGCAGACCCCACAGCTTTCCACAGATCTCAGCAAGGCAGAGAACAGACTCAGAGGCTGACGAATGTCCTGTCATGCCGAACATCGCAGGAGGCTGGGGTGGGGATGACTCTATCTAGTGTCCGTCAATATCTGAGGCTGGGGTCACTCTCTTTGCTTCTTTGGAAGGAGCATTTCCGGAGAGCAGCCCGTGTGCCAATCCTCACGAAATACTCAGGTTCTCACACTCCCTTTTTGTCTTTGTTTCTCTGTAGGACGTGAAAGAGACTTTGCGCAGGTAAGTCCTATATGAATGCGGGAGGGGAGGGCCTGGGTAGATCGAGTCGAATAGAATGTATCACTGAAGAGACCCTTGGCCTCTCCTTGTTCTAGGAGTTCGGCTGTGAAGCTGGAAACACCAGAGGCCCATTCTTTGGAAGTTCATACTGTGTGCAGTGTTTCTGAGCTTTATTTCGATATGAAGAAGATGTTAAGGAGCTATCAAGGTATGTGAAGAATCCCGAAATGCTATGGGTGGGAGGGACCTTATGTGGTAATCACATTCGCCACCTGTCCCCGGGCAGGCTCATAGCCAGAGAGGTCATTTAGTGACGTTTAGTGGTACTTCAGCGGAGACATAGCATATTGGTTATCTGTACAGACCCTTCAGATTCCTGCTCTCCCATGTATTCGCTGAGTCATCCCAGGCAAACAACTTCCTTGGTTTCCCCAGCTGAAAAATGAGGATGGGAAGAATTTCCACTTCTTTGGGTTGTTCATGAACCATAAATATGTCCACGTGCGTAAAGTGCTTAGCGCAGTGCCTGGGACATAGTGTGTGTGGTTAATATTTTACTCAACTCTCAGAACGATGTAAGAAAGATAAGTAAGTGTTACGGACTTTGGCTCAAATGACTTTAGGACCGTGGCCCGGATAACACAGACGGTAAATGCTACAACCATGATGGAAACCAAATTTTACCAAATCCAAAGCCAGAGCTTCTTGCTCTGTTGTTTCTCTCCCTCAGTGCTTTCTGTGTTTCCACGACTCTTATTTATAATTACAAAATTTAAAAAGCTCTGAAAACTGAAAGTGTTTTAAAACTTGTTTGGCCACAAAATCAGAGCTAACCTAAAATGATTTGGTGGCTGTATAATCTCTACCGGTAAACAAATGTAGCAGCTTAAAACACCACACACGTATTATCTCACAGTGTTCGTTGGTCACAAAGCTGGGCACAGCTTAGTCGGTCTTTCGGTTAGGATCTCACAAGGCTGCAAATTAAGGTGTTGGCCAGGCTGGGTTCTCATGGAGACTAGCTAGACTGGGGAAGAATCCTCATCTAAGCTCACTCAGGTTGTTGGCAGAATTCATTGTTTTACGATCGTAGGGCTTAGGGCCCTGGCTTTTTGGGAGCTGTTGGCTAGAGACTGCCCTCGGCTTCTAGAAGGCACCCCTCAACCTCTTGCACATGGGCCTCTTAACATGGCCGATTTTATTAGTAGCATAGAGTTTATCATTAATTCTCTTAATTTTTAAATTTCTGTATTCATTCCAATTTTGCCTTCTCTCTTATTTTCTCTTTTGATAAGTCTTTTTAGAGGTATGCTTGTTGTATTAGTCTTTTCATGAAAGCTACTTTTGGCTTTTCCTTCTCCATTGCATTATTTTCATTTCATTGGTTTATTGTTTATTTGCCTTTTTTTTTTAAATATTTTTTTTTAACGTTTATTTATTTTTGAGACAGAGAGAGACAAAGCATGAACGGGGGAGGGGCAGAGAGAGAGGGAGACACAGAATCAGAAGCAGGCTCCAGGCTCTGAGCCATCAGCCCAGAGCCCAACGCGGGGCTCGAACCCACGGACCGCGAGATCGTGACCTGAGCTGAAGTTGGACGCTTAACCGACTGAGCCACCCAGGCGCCCCTGTTTATTTGCCTTTTTTAAAAAGAAATTCTCTTTGGGTTTCTCTGTTCTTTTTCTAATTTAAGTTGGATAGTTAGCTTCTTAATTTCCAGCTTTTTTCTTTTTCTAAAATAAACACTTAAAGGCTATAAAATTTTCCTGAAAATTCCACCTTAACCCCACAGTATAATTTTTTGTATGTAGCATTCTATTATTGTTCAAGTCCAAATATCATCATATTATGATTTAGCAACATTTACATTTCCTATTATTTACAATATTTTTTTAACTTAAAATTAAAAAAAAAAAATTTTAACATTTTAAATTTATTTTTGCGAGACGGAGAGACAGGGCGTGAGCAGGGGAGGGGCAGAGAGAGAGGGAGACACAGAATCCGAAGGAGGCTCCAGGCTCTGAGCTGTCAGCACGGAGCCAGAGGCAGGGCTCAAACCCACAGACCACGAAATCATGACCTGAGCCGAAGTCAGACACTTAATCGGCTGAGCCACCCAGGTGCCCCAAGAATATTTTTTTTAATGTTTCTTGATTTTGAGAGTGAGAGAGAGCACGGGGAAGGGGCAGAGAGAGGGGGAAAGAGGGGAGAATTGCAAGCAGGCTTCACACTGTCAGCATAGAGCACGACCTGGTGCTCGAACTCAAGAACGGTAAGATCGTGACCTGAACTGAGATCAAGAGTAGGACGCTTCACCGACTGAGCCACCCAGGCGCCCCTAGAATATTTTTTATTATCTTTATTTTATTGGTTTCTAAACGGATTGTACTGAGGTCAGAGAATATGGTCTGTGCAATATAGATTCACCGGAATGTGTTCAGACTTACTTTCTGACTAGTCTTTACTCCGTACATCTTCTGTCTATACCTGAGAAAAGTGCATAGTCTCCGTTTATTAATTGCCGAGCTTTACATATATTTATTAGGCTGGGCTTGTTGGGTTGTTCAGATCTTTCATATCTTCCCTTTTTTTGCCTGCCTGATCTATCAGTTATAGAAAACAGAGTGGTAAAATACCGCGTGATGATTGTAGACTTGTCTGTTTCTCCTTGCAATTCTGTAATTTTTGTTGTCCTGGTTACTTCTGGTCCTTGACTTCTCCGAGTGACTAAGACGGTGATGATGCAGATGATAGTCTTCCCATTACTACCACTTACTGGGCACTTGCCCATATTCCAGGAACTTTACCGAGCATGAAGCGAACCTAAACTCATTCAGGTCCCCCACAATTCTTTGTGATAGAGATGACAATTTCTAGTTCACATGTAACAAAATTGAGTCCCGGAGAATCACTTGCCTAAGCTCTCGCCACTAGTAAGAGAGGTGCTTGGGTTCCAGCACAGGCTGCTTTAACTTAAATTAAACTGTGCTCTCACAACAAAAAATGTGCCTTTCTTTCTTTCTTTCTCTCTTTTTCTTTCTCTCTCCTTCCTTCCTCTCTCCCTCCCTCCCTTCCTCCCTCCTTTCCTCCCTCCCCCCTTTCCTTCCTTCCTTCCTTCTTTATTGACTTACTTAGTTACCTTTTTTTTTTTCAGTCAACGTGACTCTGGATCCAGACACAGCCCATCATGAGCTAATTCTGTCTGAAGATCGGAGACAAGTGACTCGTGGATGCTTCCAGGAGAATCTAGGCAATTCCTCTAGGAGATTCACTGTCTTACCCAGTATCCTGGGCTGCGAAGGCTTCACCTCAGGAAGACAGTACTTTGAAGTAGATGTAGGAGAAGGAACTGGCTGGGATTTAGGAGTTTGTTTGGAAAACGTGCATAGGGACATTGGCGTGATACAGTGCCCTCAGTCTGGATTCTGGGCCATCAGACTATGTGTAAAGAAAGGCTACGTAGCGCTCACCTCTCCCCTAACCTCCCTTTATCTGAGGGAGCAGCCCCTGGTTGTGGGGGTTTTTCTGGACTGCGATGTCGGGGTTGTATCCTTTTACAACATGACCACTGGCTCCCACATCTTTACCTTCCCGAGGGCCTCCTTCTCTGATACTCTCCGGCCCTACTTCCGGGTTTATCAACATTCTCCTTTGTTCCTGCCTCCCCCAGACAAGTAAGGAAAGTAGCAAAACCTTCTGGTTTAGCTAACGTAGAAAATATCATGGAAATCCCTTGAGGGCAGAAATTTGGTCTGTTCTTTTCGCTGCTGTTGCACTTAGAACTCTGCTGCACTTGTGGCTACTTAATAAACCTGCTTTGAATGAATGGATGGACACTGCAGAAATCCACAGATGGTCAGCCTGAGCTCGAGGAAAGCAAGAGAATGGCAATGAGCACGCATTGTCTTCTCTAGCCCCTCCGTGGGTTCAGAGCCTGGAGTTCCAGGAGTCTCTGGGTGACCCACAGGGTGACCCAGGGCTCAGGGGGTCTGCGTTCTCCCGGTTCGTCGGATGCCGCGTGAACTCGTGGGTGGGGAGCGAGGGAAAGCTGCAGTTGTGTCTGCCAGCTGTAAGGAAGAGCAGGAAAATCAAAACAGCAGTGACGCTTCTAACCGCTGACCTGGGATTAATCATCTGAGCCCTAGGCCCGGATGATGGGGCGAGTTCGGATGCCCACCGGGCCTAGCGAGCTCTGTCTGGGCAATAACAAGTGAAGTGTGAAAAGAGGAATGAAACGTGGCCTACGACGAGATGTTCCGAATGGAAAGGAGAGAAAGAATGAAAACGAATTTTCTTGGGGGACTCAGTGCACCACCTAGAAAGCCGTCTTCCTTTGTCTCATCCCTTCTCTAAAAGTCAATGGTTCCTTTGTTAAGATGCTGTAAGCCCCAGTGCCAGTCACACCTTTGAGTTCTCCGTCTCCTAGTGCTCCCATGTGTCTAGGGAAAACTCCATTTCTCCTCTACCCTCTCACCCCTACCTACTCTGGCTGTATAGTTCACTTCTCACGACAGGTGCGATGTCCTACTGTTCATTTCAATTCTGACAAGTAACTAAAGTTCAAGCAGACCCCATCGGTTGAGGGCTCAGTCCCGCAAGACTGTCCCCAGCCTCGGAGCCTGCTTGGGATTTTCTCTCTCCCTCTCTCTCTCTGCCCTCCCCTGCTCACACTGTCTCTGTCTCTCTCCAAATAAGTAAATAAACTTAAAAAAAAAAAAAAGATACATAGGATGGGGTCCAAAAACGTTCCTAGTACAGGAGCTTCTGTCCTTAATGGAGTTGGGGGTATGTCACCAGCACGTGGACATGTTCATAACCCAGAAGCTCTCCAAACCCTGTACCTTTGGGATTTTTATGGAGGTTCCATCACAAAGGCACGATCAGCTGTTATCCGATTACCAGTCCCTCCTCCCTTCCTTTCCAGAGGGTGGGGTGGAGGGGGGGTAGGTGGGATGACGCTGGAAGTTCTAAACCGTGGCTTGGTCTTTCTGGTGACCTGCCCCCGTCCTGGAGCTATCCAGCAGCCACCCAAAGCTGCTTCGTTAGAACAAGAGACGCTCCTAGCACTCAGCAAGTTCCAAAGGATTTAGGAGCCCTGTGCCAGGAACTGGGGGCGGTGGCCAATACATATATTTTCTATGATCTCACGACATGTTAATAACTTCTCTTTGTGTCCTATTTGTCTTTTCTTAGTCTAATTTACAGGACCCTAGCTGGAGAACGTAAGCTAGGAAGAGGAAAGTGATCCCCCTCCCCCCAAGGAACCCCAGTCGTATGTGTTCTCTGGCCCCATCGTCTGAGTGCACGGACCTACTTCTGGAGCCTCAGACCCACGGGATATTTGAGAGACCACACCTTTGTGCAGGATAAGTCACTAAGTCGTCTCTACCTCTAGGTGTCCTGCAGTCCCGTCTTATCCATAAGTGTAGTCTTTCCCCAGCGGAATAGAGTACTCTGCTCAGAGAAGCCTATACCGTGAAACACTTAGACTGCTGAATAGGAAAGAACGATGATTAACATTCAGCTAAGACCTTTTTTTTAATTAACAAAACAAACCTTTGAAAGCCATAAGGGTAATAGAGATAAGATGAGAAACTGATTCAGGTGCAGGCAAGTTCCAGAAAGAAAACGAAGTTCTGCTCGTCCTTAAGGGGAAAAATGCTACCATACTGGATAAATCATTGACTATTCGAATGCAGAGTTTTAAAAAAGAAAACAGGAAGTAAAATGGAATCAAGAGAGCATATGCAGGAAATCCTAGCTTTGAGAGTAATTTGAAGAATTGCGTGCAAATAAATTTGAAAATTTTGAGAAATTACTTAAAAAAAATTTTTTTTCAACGTTTATTTATTTTTGGGACAGAGAGAGACAGAGCATGAACGGGCGAGGGCCAGAGAGAGAGGGAGACACAGAATCGGAAACAGGCTCCAGGCTCTGAGCCATCAGCCCAGAGCCCGACGCGGGGCTCGAACTCACGGACCGCGAGATCGTGACCTGGCTGAAGTCGGACGCTCAACCGACTGCGCCACCCAGGCGCCCCGAGAAATTACTTTTTAAAAGAAATCGAATGACCTGATTCAAGAAGGGGAATGAAAATCAAAACAGATTAATACATGCAAATGGCATTCAGGAAGTTACAGAATCCCAATTAAATACACGGAAACAAAACAGATAAAGAGCAGATGATTTTATGGCTACTTCCCCCCCCCCCCCCCCCCAAAGGACTAGCAACGCATTGCTATTGGGAGATTAGATTGAGTTCTGTTGACTAGACAACCCAAAATGATAGTGGCTGAAAGAGGTTCATGTCTCTCCCATACAAAAACAGTCCAGATGTAGAAGTCCAGGAAATCCAGAAAGTCCGGGGCCGGTCTGGAAACTCCACAGATTTGCCAGGTTCCTGTTAGCAGCCCTTCCCCCACCGCTGGGATCTAAGCCGGCTACAGCTCCAGCCATCTCACCTGCATTCCGAGCTGTAGGACGGAGAAGGGAACATGGAAGTAAAGGGCATGCATGCGACAGCTATTTTTGACGTAGCTTCCTAAAACCTACTGTACAACTTTCTGCTTGCGTTGTCTCAGCCAGAACTTAGTCTAAGACCTCACCTAGGGAACTGAGAAATAGCCTCGTTCTGCCGGCTAACATTCCGAGATTCTCACGCCAAGGAAGTAAGGGAGATTAGACATTGAGGTAGATGACAACGTCACCACATGCAGATATTAAACTGTTCTAGTTAGTGGATTAAAAAAAAAAAAAAAGCCTACAAACTCCTTGACATAAAAACTTGACAAAGATACCCCCACAGCCACCAAGGAAATGAAATCTGATAACTGTCTCAGACAGCTATCACAAAATACTACAGGCTGGGTGACTTAAACGGAAAACATTTATTTTTCACACTTCTGGAGGCTGAGAAATCCAAGATCAAGAAGCTGGGCTGATTGGGTTCCAGGTGAGAACCCTCTTCCTTGTTTGCACTGCACAAACCAGACTCACGCTCCGCTTTTGTACCTGGAAAGAGATGACACGAAGGACCCGTGGGCTGTCATGGCTGTAAAAGACTAAGTCAAGGCCATTCACTGAATGCGTGTCAATTTCTGCCTCCAGCCACCCCCAGACTTGGTTGCTTAAAACTGCTACCAATGATTACACTTACAATACACTTAACCTCCACGGGCTGGAGGTTCTTGTAGCCAGGGCTGCAGGTGGCTGAACCCGGTCCTGCCTTCTGTCTCTTTAACACCTGGAGAGTCAGCAGGCCCTGCCTGGTCCGGGATGGGCTCACCCATGAGTCCGGAGGTTGGCAGGCTATTGCCTGGAGTCCCTCCTCCTCTTGGCAGATAAGCTCAGCCTCTTTCACGTGGTTGCTCAGGTTCTGAGAGAACCAAGAGGGGACCAGGTTGCAATGCACCTGGCTCTTTTCAAGCATCTGCTTCGGTGACATTTGTGAAATCACTTGGCCAAGCCCAGATCCAAGGGAGAGACAAATACATTCCACCTCTTGACGGGAGAAGCTTCAACGTTACGAATGCAAAAGCAGACAAACACATGGGATGAGATACATTTGGGGCAAATTTTGCAATCTATCATAAGAAACTTGTGGCTTAAAGTCTCAGCAGCTAGGGGCGCCTGGGTGGCTCCATCGGCTAAGCGTCCAACTTCAGCTCAGGTCATGATCTCAGGGTTCCCGGGTTCAAGCCCCGTGTCAGGCTCTCTGCTGACAGCTCAGAGCCTGGAACCTGCTACAGATTCTGGGTCTCCCTCTTTCTCTGCCTCTCCCCCACTCACACTCTGTCTCTCTCTCAACAACAACAAAAAAAAGTGTCAACGTTGAAACTAAGGGAGGGAGGGAGGGAGATTCAGACACCCTGAGTCCTTGGCGTGTGGCAGATTCAGGCCTAGCTTCTCCCTGGAGACCAGGCCTATTAGAACTCTCCACATCAGTAATTGCACTCTCTCTGCCCACAGACAGCCTCGGGCCCTGGGCCTCTGTGTCACCTGATCCTCACCCCCCACCTCTCTTAGCCCCGCACCTCATGCCCACCTGTATGGCCAGCCTGCTTCTCCCAACTCCCAGGGAAGGAAAGACTCATCGGGCAGCTGGACGTAGACAAGCGGGAAACTCCAAAGACCTTTCATCCCAATTCCCTTCTTCCTGGGAGTAAGGGAGACAAGGAAGTGTTGTTTAGGAAGGTGTTTGATGAGCATGTTAACGAGCATGCGGTCAAGAGAATCAGTCAGGCTGCTTGAATTTACCCTGGGCGTCTCTGGACAAGTGAAAAGGGTCCCTCCCGTGCTAATCTAGGAGTCAGGCGTCTCTTCACTGCAGTGCACAGGCAGGGCTCTCAGTCCTCAGAACTCATTCCGGCATGTCTGGAGGCGGGGGTTCCGGAGACAATGGCCAAGAAAGAATTCTTGAGACGTTTTTGGTGCAAAAAGGTGATTTTATTATAGCACAGGGACAGGACCTGGGGACAGAAAAGAGCTGCCCTAGGATTGTGAGGAGTGACTGATTACATAAGATTTTCTTTCCCATGGAGGTGGGGGGTCCCAG